ATCTATGCTAAGCTACAGCTAAAAGTGCTACCGACAGACCCGGAGATCGGCTGAATGGATTTGAAAACGGTAAAACTCAACTGTTTAACTCTAGGGGAGTTGGAAAATGAGCCTATTTTCAAAAATAGTGAAGTGTTTCTTTAAAGCGTGATCTCTGTTATAATCAGTCACAACAGCCACTCTCAAAAGTAAAACAAGGAATGCACAAAAATTGAGAATTTACACCAACTGATGCATAAATACCTCTGTAAACTGAAGTTCTGACTAAAGGAAGTTGCAATAAATGTGTCTCGGATGATCAACAAACTGAATTTGCATAATGAAACCATGGTAATTGATAATTGAGTATGTGCATGTGAAAGTAACAGGGATTTAAAGCATACTACAATGTAAGTGCACATGGAAGAGTTAGTTTTTTTGTGTGTATGTTGTGGGTACACTACAGTAATGAAGTTCAAGGAGGCTCCATATGGTGTTATGCATAGAGAGAGAACCTGAATCTGAATCAGGTAAAGCCAGTCAAGGCACACTAGCACACTGGGAAAGGTTCAGGAACAGGCAAGCAGAGTCGGTGGACACCGTCAAACCATCGTGTTGCCCACTCCCTCATTCACGTGGTTCATTAGGTGGCGGGATCTTGACGTCAGACGGTTCTACGCCCCAAATCTCACGTGCGTACTCTGCGATGGTGCGGTCGCTGGAGAACTTTCCAGAAGCAGCAATGTTTCTGATGACCTTTTTGGTCCATTCTTTTGGATTCTGAAGAAAAGAGTGTGGAATTTTACACATAATGAAGAAAAGTCCAAATTTAAAAAAGCTTAAAAAAAAAAACAGCTGCTATTGGAAAACAGCTTTGCAAGTAGTTTTACCAACATGTCCGTTCATCAAGGTCAGTTATACATTTTGAGTAGTTGTAGACTGATTTATAGTCTAAGTTATGTAGATCAATCAGCCAATAAAATAATGGTCATTTTGAGATTATCACACCATCAGCTAACAATTAACAGAAGTGTTAGCGCCCCCTTGTGTCAGATACAAACACATTTTCTGTTCTCAAATATTTTACGGTTTATAATATAGAATTAAAAATAGAAAATGTTAAATCTATATAGATAATAATTTTTGTAAATGCTTTATTACATATTACATTAATTTTATATAAAAAAAAATAAACAATTTTGCATTTAATGGAATAAACAATTTACAATTATATTACTAAGGACACCCTGGACTCAGCCACTGAAAAGCCCATACTCACCCTGTAGAGTTCATTAACTTTTTCTTGACAGCTGATATATGCTTCATAGTCTGCAAAAACCTTGAACCTGAGAGAGAAAAACAGAAGTCAGGCACCTCTTACTAAAGCGAAAATAAATCTGATAATTGCTGCATAAAAAACAGCTATGAATTTTATAAACATCAATATATTAGGGTAAAATTTAAAACTAAAACTAAAACCAAGTATCCTCAAGTATAGCAAGTATGTTCATATATATATA